AGCCCCGTCAATAGAAAACCTTGCTGGGGTAGACGATGGTTTAGATACATCGGATGAATATAATGATTTAGGAGGTATGACAATGGAAGATTCTGATGTTAAAAAAACTGAAGATATAGCAACTTCTGTACCAATGCAACAGAAAAATGATTTAACGGAAAAGAATAAATCAATACCCAATATTGTGAATAACACAAAAAAACCAGCGATAGCTAACGTTATCGATGCGTCAAATTTCTCCGATGAAAAGCCAGAAAAAGAATTGCCTAAGATTGATGGCCTATCATTTGCAAAGATCAATGATAAAATTTTAAACGAGAAGTCAAATGCAAGTATTCCAATGACAAAGACATTTTCAAAGAACCAATCCAGATTATCATCCGGTGCACATTTCGATAAAACTATGCATGTAGACAATGATAATATTCTTCATGAATTAATTCAACCAACACCTTTGGATCCAAAAACTGGTAAACTTATTTCTATTGCTGATGGTGATAATGGTAAAAATATTGATTTACTTATTCCAAGTGTCCTAAAAAGTGAAGATGAAATTCCTAAAAATATTTACTCTGGAAATTCTGAGAAGCCAGTCAGTATATCAAATTCTGGCCATAATGGTTTTAATCAAAATTCACTCAACTCCAAAGTTTCTATTCCTGTAGGACCTATGTTAATAACTAATAAAAACGAACTGTCATCAGTTTCAAATGTAATTGATCATCATAATAATAACTTAAATTATGAGGATGGAGAACCTAATGGTAATGGACGTGGTGAAACTAAACTCAAGATGGATAAAGATTTATCAGAAAACAAACACATAAATATTTCATATGAACAAATCAAACAAGAAAATAATGCGTTTTCGTATGCAGCTGATAACGATGATCACACCAACCATGAGAACCTTAAGAAATTTGGAAAAACTAAAATGAATAATCCTTCATTTTTAATTGATAATGATGATAATTATTATGATTCAAATCACATGGACAAATTAACAAAAATAAAGAGTGTTAAAAATAATATTAGTCATTTCACACCATCAATTATAGTATCTTCCGAGGATAATTCATCAATAATATCAGATAACAATTTAATAAATGAAGATGATAACCCATACGGTTGCATGCTACAAAAGTTTTCCACAAAATATGTTGAGGGTGGTGATTCGAATAGTAATTTATGGGAAACTGTTCCGCCAAAAAAAAGTAACATTTATAATGAACATAAGGAATTTGAGAATTTTAATAATGATTTAAAACAATCCAATGGTTATACTGTGTATAACGCAATTCCAAGCAATGTTAATAATGATAAAAAAAATGAAATAGAAACTGGAGCTGTCAAAAACAGTTATGACGATAAAGAAAATGCTGATATTCACAATAACATTTACGATGATTTATTCAAAAAAATGTCAGAGCAATTGTTTAAAAAAATTGATAATATTGATGATAAAATTTCTAAATTTGATAAATCATCTAACAATGGCTCTTATATCAAAGAAAATTATAATGTAAGATCTGATCATCCTAGTGATCCTAGTACCAAACAAATTATATTAATGAATGGTTTACCTAATAGTAAACCAAAAAATGAAAATGACATACAAGAGCCTGATTCAAAAACAAATGAATCAGTAGAAAGTATTGAGACAGTAAAAAATAATGAAAGTAATAATGAAAATAAAATCAAGGAATCTACAAAACTACAGAAAGATGAAGATAAAAAACATAAAAAACCAAATAAAAAACATAGAAAGCATGCAGAACATAAAAAGCGTAAAAAGAAGAAAAGTCATAAGAAAAATGAAATAATCGATTATGATGACGATGATGACAGTCATAAAAAATATAAAAGTCAGAAGACAAAAGATATAAAGAATGATGATGACAGGTTTAAGAAAAATAAAAATAAAAATAAAAACAAAAACAAAAATAAAAATAAAAACAAAAACAAAAATAAAAATAAAAATGAAATAATTGATTATGATAGTTATGATGATAATGATTATGATGATGATTATGATGACGATGATGATGATGATGATGATGACAAACGTAAAAAAAAGAGTCATAAAAAAAATTATATTAATGATGATGATGCCAAAGTTTCACGAAGAAGAAAAACTGATAATAAAAAGAAAAAAAAGAAAAAAGAAAACATATCACCTCACGAACGCAGTGAAGTTAATAGCAGTACTAGTCTTCAAATTAATAGTGAAGATAATAATTCTGTAAAAGGTTTAAAAATGAAAAGTAAATCGAAAAATTCCAAAAAAACTAATTCAACTAAAAGCAAAAAGTCGTTGCCTAAAAAGAAATCAAAACATAAGAAACGATCCAAATCTATTAACTATAAAAATAAAGAGATAACTGTGGATGTCAGTGATACAGATTCAAGTTCAAATGAGAATAATTATAATTTGAAAAAAACCTACGTAAAAACTAGAAGTAACAATAATCAAAATAATGCACCAAAAGAGAAAAAGCATAAACATAAAAGGAGTAAACATAAAAAGCATTATAAACCTTTAAAAACTAAAAAAGTGTACAAATATAAAGAAATCCCCGTAAATAATGAAGATAAAAGTTCAGATGAAAATAATGTTAATAATTTAGAAGAAACCTATAATATAAACATTATTAATGATGATAAAGCACTGAAACAGAAAAGGCTTAGACATAAAAGACTTAAAAAAACGAAGAATTTTGATATTAATATTGTAAAAGACACTGACAATCAAGTTCTAAATAAAGATACTAATACGGTGAGATTCGTTATTTAATTCCGATGGGGCTGAATTTCCTTTGTGTACCTATTCAAAATGATCTGAAGAAATAAGTACGTAAATATTAATCATGTTTTTTTTTCAGAAGCACGGATATCAATTCTACACTTTTTATCATCAATACCCATATACTAATCCATTTGGAAGAATTTTTTCTAACCCATTATACATACGATAATACTAATGATAACAACTTAGAAAAACACCTCGTTCTTATTGATCAATAAGTAAACCGTTTTAACACAGGTAAATTATATTATACATCATTATTAGTGCTACTATTTAATATACATATTATACAGTTTACGTTCTACAAAGAAATAAATGAACAGTTTAAATATTATGACGTCTTAAATTCAACTAGGGTTTAAATTCTTGGGAGCTACACTCTTAACAAAACTTAATATAAACTATTTCCCAGCAAGCATTTAAGTCTAACAAAATGGAGGTTAAGACTCTTTTGCTCATTGTCTAGCGTCTCAATATAATTTTAAAATTTTCTTTAAAAATGTAATTTTTAAATATCATACAATTTTATCAAGGTAGTTCAGTGACACAGATTACAAGGTATCTTATTGTATTTTATCTGCATCAATAACTTTTTCTAACAAATATTTTTCTCCGGGTAATACACGGTACCTTCCCACTCAGAAATTTCCCGTTATTTTGAACTATTATAAAAAAAATAATCTACTGTACAAACTACAAATATTATAATTATGCTTTTTTTAATTTAAAAAAAAACTTATATTTTTCGAAATTATTATTGTAGACCGTAATATGAAAACTTTTTTCTTGTTGATTTAAAGTGAGACAATCAATTTATATAAATATTTTTCAAGCAGAATCTATCATGATTATAAGTATTAATAATTATATTATTGTGGAAGTTTTTAACTATATATTGAAACTTGAAAGTGTATGTCATATATTTTGTTGCACCTCTATATTGAAACTTTTTTTTTCTAGGTACCTGTACTTTTAATATTAACCAAATTTATAAACTGTGGTTGTTTTATTACCAATGAACACGAATTTACATCTGGATTTCAACAATTTATAGTTAATAAAATATAAATAATACATGTAAATATATTATTATAATCTTATGAAAAATTAAGTTTAATTATTTTATCATTTAAGATTTAAATTAAATTAATCAACTTCTTAAATTATTTCTCAATATATTCTTGCTATATAAGTAAAACTTGTTTAATTTATTATTAAATAATATTGACAATTATTATTCAGCAATATAAATTAAAAATGTTCGAGGAAGTTATAAGTATGAAAAAAATTTAAATTTAAAAACACTCATAATTCCCTTAAAAATGAAAATATAGATCGATTCACATTAAGAGGACGCCACACCCGCACGTGTTGTCTACGTCTTACAAACGCATCACATACCAAATTTACGCTCAGCAGTTCACGTTTTTTGCCGTTAGCTTAAAAATTAGAGTGAATCGGCTTATTTTGAAACTTGATGATGAGAACTTAATTTGTGTTTTGTTAAAAGTTTTTTTACAATAATTCAGTTTTTAAGTGAGTTATGAGCATTTTTAATTAACATTTATTTTACACTTAAACCTTATTTAAAAACTAAATTATCGTAAAAAAACTTCCAACAAAACACAGATAAAGTTCTTATCTTCAAGTTTCATAATAGGTCGATTCACTCTAATTTTTAAGCTAACGGCATAAAACGTGAACTGCTGAGTGTAAATTTGGTATGTGACGCGTTTGTAAGACGTAGACAACACATGCGGGTGTGGCGTCCTCTTAATTTTAAAACTAATACAACACAAATATATTGTTCCTTTGAATGCTAACGGAGATAACGTATGAGTGTGAGAGTGTGAATTTCTAAGAGAGGTTTATAATATTATATTATTGTACCAACATAAGTTTACATTAATAATATACCCACCAAACTAATTATTATTACAATTATCCTTCCAAGCAAATAGTAGGTGCATCATTAAGTTACACTTTTAATTAATATCGGTAGGTATTAAAAAATAACTAAATTACAATAACCGATTATATTAACTTTTCTGTATAAATTTGTACGTCAAATTAGTTATTTTGTTTTCAAAATATATAATAAATTTACTAATTTGTGCACTAAACGAATATAATTCTGATAATTATACATAATACATATTATAGTAGGTTCAAGATGATAGACGAGTGGACTTTAGTGAGCTAAACTAACACACGCCTGCATTATACAGTAGGTACTACAATCTTGGTTACGCCACTGGATGACGTATGAAAAGTTGACACAACTTTAATAATAAAACCACTACATCGATTAGGCACGGCAGAAACTATGCCAATGACTAGTATATAATAATAATAATTGTATTCATTGGCCAATCTAGTCCCCAATTTGGATCAGTTGTAGATAAAATTGAAAAAGTACGATGAAGTTTACTTCGCATGTTATCACATACAGTTAATTAATCCGGTCATCCAATCTCTGGAGTTGAGGGTCAATGCAATATTGAAATCCAACCATTGAAATCCAGATCCAACTTTATTGAATAATAATGATGGATTGTTCGTGTGTAAATACTCAAATGGCTACATTTACAGCTATAATTATTTATTAAAAATAGAATATTATATGTCATTGTACCACAGTCAATATCCATAAATTACGTTGTCTACATGATACCCACAACTCCCAAATAAAAATGTATCGAGCCTCAAACCCCTGTAACGGCTGTAACGATTTAAATAATTTTGATTTCTTAATAGGTAGTAAATCTAAATTAAAACAATGTATCCTAAATAGTAAATGTATAGGTTATACTTTAATATTAATTAATCAATTAATTTTTTTACCTTATATTGTACTTTTGCCCCACCATGGACGTAAATTATTTATCAAGCAAATAAATAAACAAATAATAATAGTAAAAATTAAAATAATATGAACTATAATTAATATGCATAGTAAATTAAAATAGGTAAATCAGTGGGACCAAACTCTGTACTATAGCCACAATATGAAACATGTGGTAGCAGATTTCTTGTATTATTGGTGGTGAGTGGGTGTTTGGATGGAAGTAATGGGTTACAAAAACGTAATAATAATTTTAGAAAAATAGGAACGGGTGACATGGACAACAAAAGACCAAGCAATACACAGGCGTTGGTAAAGTAAATTTTTCGGGTGAAGTGATAATTTCTTTGAATATTAATATTGTCACATTCACACATAATATAATAAATCAAGGAATATTTATATATAGGTACCTACCTACTACATTATACCAGTAACTGGTAATAATACCCAATAGAAAAAAATAAAAATACTGAACAAAATAATAATTATAAACATATTGACGTACAGTAGGTAGTTACATTAAAAATAAATTCATATTATTCATGTTTCATGCTTGATAAATTGAGTATTCATATTTTAAATATTATGTACATAATATCTAATAAAAGCATGAGTAGTTACTAATTACTATAAAAATCTATGTATAGGTATTATGATATATTTATAATATTATGCGTATTAATAATATTATATATATCATAATAAATTTGTAAAAACGTATGAGTATATATTTTATATCAGCAATAATATTTGTTTTCCACTAATTTAATATCAAATAAAACATAGGTGATTAATAAAAATGCACATAGAAAAATCTATCATAATAATATTAAAAAATATAATAACATTAAAAATATATTTTTTGCGATAGTACTGTCACTATTTTAAATACATTATTGAAGGAATATTCACAAATTACAAATGTTAAGAGTTAAAAATATTTGTGTATACAAATTAAAAACTAACTGGTACTTGTTCCTTCGGGTATTAAATATTAATTCCTCGATATTTTTCTTTTGGGCACTGTTTACATGGGTATTTTTTTTTTTTTTTTTGAGGGTGGTTTATTATTTCTATTTGTATTTTCACCAGTTACCAATACCATATAGTAGGTAGGCACCTAAGTAATAAGTATTCGTAGAGTTTGTCCCCTGTTATACCATTGACCGGTGGATAGGTATGTTTTTCGTCCTTACAATATCATCTGCCTTTACCACCGCGGCAATTGCAGCACAACACGACGAAGCCGGCGATGAGCAGACCGAACAGCACCATGTAATAGTATTTGGTGAAGGCCGTCGACGGTGACGAGGACGTAGTTGCTGTCAACGCTGACGCTGGGGAATGGAACGAACGACTCCCGACGGACGTCTGTCGGCCATCCGCCGCGGTGGCCGTTACCAGAATTCCGTAGGTCTTGCCACCGGCCAGCTCCACCACTAGGAAACGATAAAAGAATATTATATCATACAATTTATTTAAACCGCATTTTTATCTATATACGCATAAAGGTGAGAGAATAGAGGGATCGCTTAAAGGAACTTGGACTCCTAAAATAATTCCAATTCACACCAGAAAAAGTGTCACGTTTTACGGTATTTTTATTATATTTTACAAATATTGAAACGATTAGTTATTAATTTATAATTTTAAAATGATTTATAATAATTGAGTTCTATTTTGGTGTAATTGTTGAGTTTTTTTTTACTGACCCACTATACTTGTCTCATCACAGAAATAAAAACTTACAAGTACCTATTCAAAATAAAATGTTTAGACACTTTTTTCCTGTTTCTACCTATATATAAAAAACAAAGATGATATTTTAGGTATTCATGTAGAGCAAAATGTACTAGGACTAATCTTTATGCTTGTTTTAAAGTTAAGTTGAAATTTATAAATTTTAAATTTTAAAAACATAGTTATGGCGTTATAGATTGATTAAATGTTCTGTTTATAATATTGCAGACAGTCGTCAATATAATTGTTTAATATAGGTATATGTAGAATTGTAGTAAACTAGTTTATGTAGGAATAACCCCAACAAAAACATAACAGTGAAAAAAGGCCAAGTTCCAAACTCCCTCCCAAAAAAATCGGCCTATCAAAGCAGTGAATTCTACATTGTGGCCAAGTCTGTTATTTTTTAATTCATAACCTCAATGCACTCCTACATTAAAGAGCAACACTTCTCTATTATTTGTATTGTTTAGCACTTGGTCAGTTTCTGAATGAGGAATAAACTAGACTTGGCCGCAATGTAGATACCACTACTTTGATAGGCCGACTTTTTTGGGAGGGAGTTTGGAACTTGGCCTTTTTTCACTGTTATGTTTTTGTTGGGGATATCATTTATTTTTGCGGGCTTCAGCGTCGTGGACGACGTGTTGTTATTATTTATTTATTTTAGATTCTGAGCGAAGCGATGAATGTATTGATTTTACAATGATGTGTGTTTTTTTTTTTATTTTTTTTTTTATTTTTTTTTTTATTTTTGTGTCTGTCATCACCTTTTAGGGCAGTAAAACTGCTTCGATTTTCTTCAACAGCAACTTTTCTGATAGGAAAGTGAATCTAGTTGGTACTTTGGGGGGTCAAAAGTAAACATTTCCCAGTAGTTTTCAAAAGCGACGTGAAAAACAAAAGAAAAATTAAGGAAAAACGGGAATTTTTACGCAAAATCGATTTTTGTCAAAATTGATTTTGGTTTTTGGTGTAACTCTAAAGCAAATGACCATAGATGCATGAAATTTTCACTGGTTGTTTATATTTGCATTTTCTATACACGATAAAATTTTGAAAATAATTTGACTTTTTTTGAACGGTTTACGGACATTGTCAGTTTTCAATTTTTTTAGTTTTTTTTTCTATAAATATCAATAAAATTTTATTTGTTGGTTAAAAAAGCTTGAAAATTTAATAGAAGGCTCCTAGTATATTGTTTCAAAGGCATATGAAAAAAATTAAAAATCGTTAGTCACAGTTTTTATTTATAAGCATTTAAAGTTCAAATCTTGACAAAATACGGAAAAATCACGAAAATTAGCAAATTATTTTGAGTTTAAAATTCGTAAAAATTTTTCTTTTGAAATCTAAGGTTTGAAAATGTAATACAAGATTCCTCATAAGTTTGTCTACCTTTGTAAAAAAAAAAATGTCTACTAGAAAGTCAAATTAAATTTTTATGAGCGTTTGAAATTCATATTTTTACAACATTTGATATTCACTCGATTTCTCATGTAACGATTTTCTGTTTTTGTTGTAATTAAAAAACGAATGGCTGTAGACACTTGAAAATTTCACTGAATGTTGATATTAGCATTTTCTAAACACGATAAAATTTTGAAAATAATTTGACTCTTTTTGAGATGTTTACGGACATTGTCAATTTTCAATTTTCTTAGTTTTTTTTTCTATAAATACCAATAAAATTTTATTTATTGGGCGAAAAAGCTTGAAAATTTAATACAAGGCTCCTGATATATTTTTACAATAGCAATTGTAAAATATTTAAAATACATAGGCACAATTTTTTTTAATAAGCATTTAAAATTCGAATTTTGACAAAATTTATCAAAATCTCGAAAATTATTAATCACTGTAATTAAAAATTATAAAATGTTCAGTTTTTATAACTAAGGATTGAAAATTTAAAACAAAGATTCTCATAAATAGTTCATACTGTAACCAAAAAATCTACAAAATACGGTTTGTTGTTGATGTATAACGCATTTAACTACCAAATGCCTAGTGGATATTGAATGTTCTGATATGATTAATTTGGAATTTATTATATAAGTCAATTTTTTTTAAAAATATTTATGTTCATATACCTAGACTGACATACCGCCTCCGCTCAGAATCGTTTTTCTTATACAATGATATTATATCATTGAATTCAAATTTAATTCCATCCATTATACAGTGTCCCACTTGTAACCTACTGTACAGCAGAGCGACATCCACTTGCCCACCTTTTTTATTTTTATTTTTAATTTTTTATTTTTATTTTAATTTTTTTTAAATTTATTTTTTTATACGTCTTAGATTTTCTCTTGTAAGACCGTTTGGGTTTCGGTTGAGGAGCTGAGAAATTAGACTATATATAATTCAACTACAAACAATTTCTTATTACCATATTGTAACGCTGTTTGAAAGTAAACGTTTATGCGTGCTAAGCGCGCCACTTCATACGTTTAAAAATACACACTCTGGAGAGGCATTCATTTTGAAAAAAATTCAATTTTTAGATTTTTCCCTTTAGTTAAACTGTAAAATCTACCTTTGTGCCAAATTTCACGTTTCTACCTATACGGGAAGTGTCTTATAATTTTGATGATCAGTGAGTCAGTCAGTCAGTAACAATATTGCAAATTTTGAAATCCTGCCATTTTGAAATGGCACAATATTAAGGGATCATTTGCTTACAGCGTCCTAAGCTACTAGAGGTTATTCTGTGTTTTAAATTTCAAAAGTTTATCTTAAGAAGAAACAGAGATATATGGGTTAGAAAAAAAGGGCGAATTGGTTCGTGTACATATGGTACCTAACCTAACCTAACGTACATGTGTATACATACACATACACATTACACATACACTGGCATTGCTGTAACTTGGCCTGGCGCACTGCCGTGAGCTCAGATATATTGTAACAACTATGTAATTAAGGATATTGGTTTGTTATTATAGCCCCGCCACTCAGGTTTTGTTTTAGCCCCGCCATCCCTATACCAATAAATACATCGTATAAATATAAAATGAGTTTATTTATTGATATTAATCTAATAATTCGATGATAGATACATTGATACAATATTTAAAAAATTAAAATTGAAAAATGGAAAATAGAATAATAATACTTTTTAAACAATGATAAATTAAAAAATCTATAAAAATGTTATAATGTTCAAAATTATGGTTTCTGTGATTCCCAAAACTCTGCTATATCTTTTAAGATGGTGTCAAACGGATCACTATTTATTGGTACGTATTTTCCTTCGAATTATAAACATTATAATATCAATTAATAACTTCATTATTTTATATTTATACGATGTATTTATTGTTATATGAATGGTGGAGTTATATCAAACCCGAGTGGCGGGGCTATAACAAACTAGTACCGTTGTAGGATTATCTGTTTACATGCATTTATGTGCTTTCAATTGTGAATTAACTAAACCTAATTGATTTTAAACCGAATTAACAGCTGTTTAAATGTATTTAACTCTGAGAGTTAACTAATTTGAGTTTAGTTAAATTACATGTACATGTAACAGTAGTATAAGTATAGAGCGTAGACTCATAGATTAAATATAAATAATGTATATTTAATCTATGGTAGACTGTACTGTAGAGCAATGCCTTTAATAATAAGTATAGAATAAATTATGATGGAATCAATTGTTTTTTAAATCAAGTTCCAACTTTAATAGTTTTAAACGTATTCAAAATAATTGGTGGAGTCAATCTTTATGTAACTTTAAACATGAATAAAAAAATAAGTGTTGTATCTTTTGAGTTTTGGTAAAAGAACATTTTCACTGGATTTACTAGTCAATATTCTCTAAGGTTTTGTTTGCAAAATCAGTATTTTACATGAAAATAAGCTTTATGCACATAGTTCCAAATTTAAACTCTTAAATGTACAAAAAATAATTAACAAAAGATTTTTAGATTTTTTCAGTGATGGCATGAATGTATAGGGTGCTATTAAAATTTCAGTAACAAATATCAAGAATTCAAAATTTTATTCATAATAAAAAAATATCTTCTGAGCGAATCTCAAAATTGTTTGTTTTTAAAAGTAATGATTTCTCATTTGTTTCATGCTTATTTAAACATATACTATATACCCGCTATCATTACCGTGTACAATTATACTAATATACGATTTAACGAGTTTTGAACAATTGTTTATTTCTACTTTAATTAATAATTAACTCATATGAGTTCATATAAGAATCGAACTAATCCAAGTTTAGTTTTTGTAGGTTCTATCTACGTCATGATATAAACAACCAACTAAAGGTACGGTTTCCCTGCAACGTCTGGACGCAGCGTCAAGCGTCACTACTGGTCTGGACGTAGGTCGCGTCTAGACGCCGCGTCCGACGCAGCCATGCTGTTCTCGCGTCTGACGTTGCAGGGAAACCGTACCTTAAGAAATATGATCAGAACTTTTTGACAATCATATCTTTCGGTAGGCACGTGACGTAGCGTAACGTATACTAAAAATAATTTTAAGACAATATTATGATCATCAAATAATATGGGCACAGAATAGATTAATCTATGCGTAAGCAATTTGGGTAAACAAGTCAGTGACGTGAGCGTGAACTTCAACCAAACCTGGCTTTTACGATCATACAAGTTGCTTATATCGTGTGATACGTACTACGTAATACATAGTGCTAACAACGACATAGACTATAGAGATACTATAATATTGTCTATATTATTTACTCTATCATGTACTACGATAACACGGTCCTGTGAAAACGTAGATAATAAATAATAATATGGTATAAAACAGTGTTTCTTAACCTGTGTTTCTCACTTAGGGGTTCCGCGAAATCACTTTATCTACATTATCCATCATTTATACTTTTTTAAAGATAATTTTCATAGGGGTTCCGCATAAAAACAATATATTTGTTTGGTGTTTCGTGATATCAAAAAGGTTAAGAAACACTGATCTAAAAAGTTGAAAACTGACTTTTACCGGCGGAATTCTGTCGGTAATAAAATCTGTGATCAGCCGGTTAGCGTTAACCACGGTTTAAGAAAGAAGTTGAATAGAAGCCGTGTCATTACCTGATACTGTCTTAACTGGACATTGTAAGAAAGGCAAAAAGATAATATTTCAAATCTCGTACTAGTCGCATTACAGTAGATCACTTACTAGTCATCTCGGTTTTATTATAGCACTTAGCGACCACTGTAGATAGGTCTAACGAAAAACTACTAAATAGTAAATAATATCCAACTGCCAAGAAACCGAAAACAATCAAGTTAATGATAAGTGATAACAATAAGATAAAACCGTCTGCTACTCTGGTACCACATGTTTTTATCGTTCAGCATCGTAATAATTTGGTAGCGGACCATTTTTACACTATACATCTTTACTTATACAGTGTTATACCCACAGTTTTATAATGTCTATGGTTAATGGTTATACTTTAATACTTTATACCTTATAAGATCTACACATATATTTATATATTTATATTATGTAATGGTTACACCTTATGGCTTATACCTTATAAGGTCTACCCACGTGATTTACACCGACGTCAGAATATTTCGAATCTTCAGGCACAGAATAATTATTCTGTGCTTCAGGTCTGTCGTCTGAGATTGTCTTATCAGTACCACCAGTATCACTTCACCCGCGACCCATTCCATCATAACCCGCTCTACCAGTCGACACTCGACACTGTTGATACTTGATACGACATTACGACATTACTTGCTGTCCCTTGTTACGGGCTACGAATTCTACAGCATAATATTAAGTATTAGTGATACAGTAGACAATTATTAAATAAAATATAACATAAACTTTATACTCCGTATTTCTACATCCGGCGCTGATACAATAAGTAATTCCAGACTCGTATCTATAGAACTCAAAATTGAAATATGATTACGAAAGGCTGTAGCTTGGCCACGGTTTACTTACCGCAACGCAACTGCAAGTTATATTATTATAACTAACCAGCCATTCATTCAGCGTAAGTACCTATGCTCTAATGAGTAATGATTAAATTTGTTTGTGTTGTGTTGTGGTGTCGGATGTTATTATACCTACAATATAATTATTTAGTTTTTCACGCATTCGGTATCCCGATGAACTAGGAACGTGTAATATTTACCTATCTATATTATTATTCGTTCTGGTGCTGTAATCGTGCTTATTGTATTGAGTTTAGTTCGACCGCCGCCGAGATAAAATAAATAATAATCTCCAGGATAAAATCAGGACATTTTTCATGAACAATGATATTTCCGAATCCCGGTCCCGTCGTTATTTCGAAATATTATATACTCCCACTCCAATACTCTTGGGCACGCTTAATTATCTTTCTTATCCATAGACATAATATTATTGTTTTTAATGTCTAGAAGATCTTATCTTCTAAGTTCTAAGACCGTGATGTCTACTAAGCTTATCTTAAAGATGGCTGAGTGGGGGGTTGGCATATGCCATATAGTTGATCAAGTATTCCATATTCAAGCACACTGCACAGATTACAACATGGATCTGTGTTTCAATCTGTAATCTTTAATTCAAGTTTCAACCTATTATAATATTATACAATTATTCGAAACATTATAGCTAGCAAAATAAAATTATTTAGGAATATTAATTAATAATTATAATAGAGAAAAGTTATAAATATGCTTTGTCACTAATAAACAATGATGCAAATATTAATTTAATTTAGCCTGGTATTGCTATTAATAATAAAGATAGGATAATTAATAATTTTATTTAAATGTGTCAACAATGTATGATCCAACAGTGTACGGTGGGTCTATATGTTGTTCAGTGTACTGTCATCATTGCATATTTGTGTAGCTATCAGGGGTGTATTGGTGGGTATACTAGAGTTTACAGAATATAGTATGTATATACCCATAAGGCCATAACAATACCTGTAAAGAAATACATTTATACCCAATTTCAAATGTTATTCTTTAGGTCCACGGTATATTATAGTGGTATTTTATTTTATTTTTGCAGCCTAACATTTTTCTTAATTTTTATATTCTGAGCAAATGCGGACACTTTAATATTTTTTATTAGGTTAAGACTATTTTTGGGTACTAAAAGTCATTTAGATGTTACGTTCAGCAGTTAGCACCCTTGGAGATAAGACATTTCTTTCATTTAATAGATACTTAAGAAAGTTAATTATTCAAAACTATCGATACCAATGGGTTGAATATTAAAATATGTCAGTCACTAGATTTTAACAAAATTGGTTTAAGTTATTTAGTCATCTTTAGTGCAGTAGTAGATAACTAGTGTTATTTAAAATCTGATAAATTAATTTACTATACTCATTCACAAACCCCAGGTAAAAATAAATAATACAAATAGTTTTTATAATTGTATGTAATGTTAGGTACTTACAACTTACAATCTTCAACAAAAAAAAAGTTTGTGTTAAGTTGATAGTTGTAATATTAGTATAATATATAATTTATAAAAGTTGCAAGTATTTAGAATAGTAGAACAATAGACATCTAGTTAATGAGACAAGTGAGGGTAAAAGAATTATTGAGTTATTTATTTGGAAAAAATGGTGTATACCCAGATATTTTTTATCAATACATCCCAGGTAACACAAATTCATATTAATGTGAGTGAGCTATGTGATAAGAAAATAATAATTATTTTTTTTCTTCTGAACGTATACAAATAATAATGATGAACTATGATTACAAGGGCCCGGATTTTGTTTTGACTTTAGTTACAATACAATACTATCATATTCTCATGCAATACGTTTTATTACATAGAAGTTATTTTTGAAGTACTAGCTTCTTAGCCTTTAGAACTGGGTTTCCCAAATATTAGTCTCAATTCCTTATTTCTGCATAAAAGGCTGCAAATGTTTAATATTTTCAAATGCACATAGTGATAATATAAAGTCATAAGTGTTTGTATAACACTGTAGCCCAATCTTACAACAAAAATAGTGGCTTAACTGTAATTTTTTTTTAAATTGAATTAAGTTTATATACTTAATATGCAACAACTTTCTTAAAAATGATAGAAATTTAAAAACTCATAGATTCCTTGAAATTAATACAATGAATAATCAAATCGGTGAAGTGAATAAGTTAGGTATGTTTAACAGAAAAATATAAATACATGAAATATCATACACCATTGAACCTATCTAATGACTTAATTAATTTTTAAAAAAATTACGCTGTTTAATATTTACACCTACTTATGTTAAAATAATTTGCAGTATTGACTTAAGATTTTCAAAAAAAAAAATGTAAAAATATGCCTATTCGGTATGGAGGTTATTAATAATTATTGTGGTTAAGCCCCCTCTAGGTCACCTTTAGTTTGGCCGGAGAGAGTACTCCTCTGTTAAATTGCTGTATATTGACTATAAATGTATTTGTTGTTATTTAATTGTTTATCATTTTAATTTTTGTATGCACGATGCACCTAATAAAATAAATTGCCTGAATAATTATAACTGAAACAACTTTTTTTGTTTATAGACTTCAAAGAGTTATGGTTTTTGGTAACTAAACTATTTACAAGTATGGTTGAGTCAATTGATTTTGAAAATACAACTTTATTAAGAGATTTCAATGAAACTCAACCTATTCACGAGTGGTCCCCTTTTATATGTGATGGACCTTCACATATGCCTACTTTCAAAGTTTCATTATATTTAAACAATCTTCGGTTTAATGGCTATGGGTCTTCAAAAAAAAAAGCTAAAATAGATGCAATAAAGAACTTCAAATTATTCACTCTAAATCATGATAATTCTAAGGCCAACCATACTGTAGAAAGTGATATACTAGTTGACAAAAGAAAATGTACTGATGATATAGAAAACTCGCTATCAAAAAAACTTGCTACAGAACATCAAGTCCCGGAACATCAAGTCACTGGACATCAAGTCACAGAACATCAAACATCAGCAATATGCATCCTACATGAAATATTTGCAGGACAAACCTTGGTATACGAACATGAGCAGTCTCATGGTATATTAGAAACAATTAGTGTCATGGTTTCTGGTAATAAGTACATAGGTTATGGGAAAAGTAAAAAAGAAGCCAAAGAAATTGCATGTCGTAACGCTTTAAAATCCTTGTATGATGCTCAGCCAATAGATAATAAGTTCAAAAATCAAATAGAAATGTTGCGTACTGATTATAATGATGCTAAAATTATTGATCATTTTGCTAGAATCACAGATATGGTATATCAAAAATTAGAATTTAATCAAATCAAATTTAAAGAATACTCAGTCATTGCAAGTATTATCAAAGTAAATGAATTATTAGTAAATAATTAATTTCTTAATATTTATTAACGTACCTATTATTTGTTTATGCAGATGACCAAAGATGATTTGAGGACAGCTCAAGTAATTTGTTTGGCTACTGGTACAAAATGTTTATCTGGTAACTATTTGAGCCTAAGTGGTGAATCTTTACATGATTGCCACGCAGAAATATTGACCCGCAGGTGTCTTTTAAAATTCTTTTATAAAGAACTCATGGAATCAGTGAAGGGCCTTCCTTCTATATTTATCTCAGATGATAAAAAATGTAAGTTCAAATTAGCAGAAGATATAGCATTTCACTTATACATAAACACAGCCCCTTGTGGTGAAGCTAGAGTATTTAGCTTCTGTGACACAGAACACCAGTTAAATCGTTTAAACCGTGGTTTACTTCGATCAAAAATTGAAAATGGTGCAGGTACTGTATCTGTGTTTGGTAGAGAAGTTCAGACATATGATGGAGTTGCTCAGGGTGAACGTCTTGTTACTATGTCATGTTCAGACAAACTAACACGATGGAATGTACTTGGACTTCAAGGCAATTTATTATCAAATTTTGTTAAACCCATCTATTTAGAATCAATATCAATTGGAAGTATATTCAACATAAATCATATGAAGCGAACAATTTATGGTCGTGTTGAAAACTGTATTGATAAATTACCACAAGATTATAAGTGAGTAAAAATTTGCTTATTTTAATCTTTATTACATAACTATATTTTACTTATAGATTACAGAAACCTCAACTTCGTGGTTATGGTATACTTCCTCGCAGATCTGTTACACAATCACCACACTGTGTGAATTGGATTATAAATGAAGGAATTGAAATTATTAAAGGAAGTATGGGTAGAACAATCGAAAACAGGTTGTCCAGAGTATGTAAAACCTCATTGGCTAAAGAATATATTAAACTGTGTAGTGCTACAAATAATCTATCAACTCTTATTGAAAATGAAACAAATATATTTTATGATTCATTGAAAAATAAAAACAAGAATTATGTAGCTGCTAAAAATGAATTATTATCAACATTTAAGTCATTAAAACTTGGGACTTGGGTACATAAGCCTGAAGAACTTAAAAGTTTTGAATTAAATGTTGGTAATACAATAAATAAAATTGATAAAATACCATTATAATAATAATATGCATTGGATATTTAACTAAGAATATTCAAAGTTGAGACAATTTTTTCGTAAATTTTTATTTATTAAGTTTCTATAACAGTGTAAACTATGAATGGTGAATTAAAGAAAGGAGCAAATAAGGCATCTATCCACCTTCCCCTAATTTAGTATTTAATTTATATAAATAGATGTTACTTTCTGACTTATTATCATTTATATGTAAAACTGACCATTATTTTATTTATCTGTAGTTAAATACACAAATACATCACTGAAGACATTTTTCTTTACTTTGACTGTTTTTAAGTGTAAATATTTTGTTTTTAAAGATTGTATAACTTTGATGCCTGCCTCTATCTGTGATCCCTAGTTAATATTAATAATAATAAAGCATAACATTGATTAATTTTATAACATGCAAATGTATTTAAAATTGGTAATGACTTCACTGCTACTCCTAGTATTTGGTACCTTTCTCAATAATAATGTATGATTGTCATTTGTCAAATTTGTTAACCTCTCTTATAAAATAAAATATAATTCAATTTGGTCAGAGGAATGTACAAAAAATAAACATAAAAAATGTACCGATTATAAATTATGTATTGAATTATTTGTATTCATATATTTAAATAATTTTTCAAATACAACCATTAATATTATTGAATAAACTAGCATTTTTAAATTTTTAATTCCAAATAAAAAAATTAAAAATGTACCAATGTGTTAATTCTCTAAATCATCATAATATATAGGTAATGCCTTCAATGTGTTATAGTTAACAAATAATTATTCATTTATTGTAAATACAATTTATACTATGATGTTGAGGTTAAAAATTAAAATTACTAGTAGAGTTAGGATGTTGATGACTTCTGCATTTTTTCCTTTGATTCTATACAATGCTAAAAATTTGTTTTATGGTCCCTTGATGCAAAATATTCTAATTTTATTTTGTATTTGTAGGTACTTAAATGCACTCTTTTGTTTTTTAATGTCATTTTTCAACATTTTAAAGTCATTTTTTCATCTGTTAGGTCATTTTTTGTAGTTTTAGTACAATGTGGGGCATATTTCTCAAATTTTAGATTAGAGCAAGTATTAAACACAAATTTAATTTATTTTGATTATACTTATATTATACTTATATATTTACCAAGATCCAGGGGATAACAACTCAAATGTCGTCAATAGATTCAAAAAAATATCAAATTACTAGTCAACCTAGAACAATAAATTAACAATTTATTTGATGAAGGATACTTTGATATATTATTAGACCATTCTTACATGAAACAAAATTCTTATTTATCAAAAGTGTTGACGAGTCAGGTCTAACATAGTCAGGTCATTGGCTATTATTGCAAATGTTCAACCACCAAACATTGTGAAAACTACTATCATTGATTATAATTCTAATATTTGTAAATTGTAATCAATGTTACTATTTACCATTGTTAATGATGAAGATATAAATGTGCAAAATTTGGAACATGAAGGTAATCTTAATAAGGGATTACTCTCTTCAAATAATTTTCAAGAAACTAAATTTGAGTTAGAAATAAAGATGAAAGATAACTAAAGAAAAATGTACAAAAGAACACATATTGATTTAAGGTATGTCTGTAATTAAAATGTTTAATGTTACATTTTAGATTCTGAGTGAAGCAATGAATGAATTGAATTGATTGATGTTCGATCAATTTGTATAGCTAAGGATTGAAAATTTATAACATGGTTTCCAGGGGCGGATCCAAAGTTGGGAAACTGTGAGTCAGGCCATTACAAGAAGCCACTTATTAAGGTTAAAACTTGATTAGAAATCTTTACTTGTATACAATAAAAAAAAATGCATTGTACTGAAAGTGTATTTTCCTCAGTATTTAAGTTGGCAGATTGATCTAAAATATAGACGAATCGATTTCTTAAAATATAATACCTATAAATAAAAGGTTCTGGTAAAAAAAACATACCTAGTTATTAGTTATGCTATTTAATTATTTAAGTTATTAGTTTATAATCACATACGTACAATAATAAATAATCAATTTCAATGTAACCTATGGTTAACTTAAATTACTGAATTAATAAAATTGTACTTCCAAAAACTCACCTTGGTCTTCATGGCATAGTGCTTAAAACAAGAACTCCCCGATGGGTAATGCAACATTATTGTTAAATATTAACTACTTAATAGGTGGTATTTAATATAATATAGTATAATATATAATTAATAGAACATTAGCTTGTTTTTTTAGAAAATTGAACAAAGGATAAAATACTTTTATTTCCTTTTACTGATTTTTCTTTTTCTTTCATAAGTCTTCTCGCCCCACCTGGGAAACGAGTTTTTTTAAGGTGGCTGACACAATTCTAGCGGTTCCATTTGAAGTTCAATTTTAAAATTTACAACTGCTTATAATTTAAAAAATAATTATTTATTAAAACATTTAAAACTACCAAATACAATTCACATAATCAAAATACTTCTGTCATTCGTGATGGACGTCCGTCGATGACAATATTATGGTAACATTGGTTATTTGTTGACAATTCACTGTGGACTTAAATAGTTTATTTTGATTGTATGGCAATCAGGAATATCATATCATTACGTGGTAGAGAGACAGCGAGATATTATAGAAATAGTCACAGAATTATTATTATTCGGCTACGCCACTACAGATTCACGCCAGATTATATAGTATAAATAGTTTCACTAGTTTTGTTCTGCCTGTTCTGGGAACGTGCATGTCGTCGCATTCGACCGCGGCATACACAATTTTGTACATTATTACTAGTATTACTATAATACTATATCAATAGACCCATTAATATAATATACATACAATTATAATATTTATATAATTCACTATTTAACTATAAGACTTATTTTCAATTTTGAAATATTATCTAATTTTATCGGCCCAGGGATAGTATATAGATGATACGTCATACATAGTAAAATATGATTAATTCAACTTTGAACTTTCTACTAAAACGATCTAATATAACATATAAATTAAGAATTGAGAAAATTAAAATTTATTTTTTATTTGTAAAGTAAATCCAAAGGGTACAAGTGTCTAGCTACCCATGAACCCATGATCTGAAAAGAAGCAAATTCACCAAGAGGCCAATTTTGTCAGGAAATATTAACTGTGAGTCAGCTGACTTCCTTAACCCCCCCCCCCCCTTAGATCTGCCCCTGATGGTTTCTCATAAGTCATAAGTAATTGATATTGTAACCAAGAAATCACATTTTTAATAAATATTTTATGATCCAATTCAGATAAAATGAAATATTTAAATGAAGAATAACAATTTTAGATATTTTTTTGTAATTTAAAAATATTATTTTTAGGAAATTTTTAAACTACATAAAATGAAATGTTTTTGTCAACAATAAATTCAACCTATAATGTCTTACTCATAGAATAAATAAATTAAGTAATAATTATATCATAAAATAATATGCATAATTATATAAACAACCATATCAACAAAATATAAGTAGATCACATGTTCCTAACAATGGTACTTTAATACTTACCGCTTTTGATATGGCTATGAAAGTAATTTAATTTACTGCCTTTTACCCATAAACATTTTTTTGAAAAAATGTATAGATACTGTGGCTCAGTACTTGTTGTAATTAAAATATTTTTTAGTAAGCTTTTTCTTTATACTTTTAACTTTTAAGTACCTAATTGAATAGTGCAGAACTGCAGTAGCATCAATGGGGACTATAGCCCCCACCCTATTGACTTTGTTTATTTCAGTCTATATGACTATATTATAATATGATATTAAAAAATAAAAACATGATTTAACAAAAACCGTATAGCCTTCCCTCTATACAAAATTCCTGGGTGTTCCACTGCAATAGAGTAATACCCATACATATTTATTTAGATTCTACACCTACCTAACTTAACTATATTCAAAATAGAAACATGGATACGCATGATATTATTCTTTTCTTGTGGACACTATTCATGATAATATTATATATAATTGATTTAAGATCAATAGAAATAGCACTCCAAGATTAAAATTAAAAAATGTAATCCAAATTGGTGTACCTACCTACATTGACATACTATCTATATAGTATATATCTATATATGCTATCTATATTCAGGGCAATACATTTTAGTATTCAAATCGTTACTCTACACCAGTGTTTCCCAACCTTTTTACCACCACGGACCATTTCGACAATATTTTATAGGTCGCGGACCACCTCAATTTTACGCAAACTAGGTAGACCTTTTTTTTTTTTGCTCATTAACAAGAATACACAAAATTTATTGAAAATGTTTTATTATTTTACTGTACTATTATATATAATTATTATACTTTACTAATAATTTACTTAGTGTGATTTTTGTGGCTGTATTTCTTTGACCAGTTTTTCAATAATAAAATATTTTTCGCTGTTTAAAAAAAAAAAAATAATTTTTAATAGAAAACTAAGAAAGGTACCGCCGACCACCTATGACTGGCCCACGGACCACCGGTTGGGAAACACTCCTATACAGTATACAATACATCTATCTCATCTCCGGGTTCTTAGGTTTTTAGATTATTAGAGATTTATTTTTTGGATATCGTGGCTAATACTCAAATCTCAAGTCTATGTACCAGAAAACGTTTTCGAACAAACGTCAAACATACACGTTTAATAATACATTATAAACTATATGTTTATACAAACAATTTTCAATCAAGCCTTAAAAACGGAAAAAAATCTTACTAAATCTATATAGTTAACAGGAAATTATGCTAGTCTATACTCTATAGGTAACCCTAAAAAGTTGAGCTATAACATAATAATTTCTTTTTTTACAGAAATAGGCATAGGTATCTATGTTAAATGATTCATATTAATTACTTTTATTTGATCCAAGTTACAAATATTTAAATGAAAGATAAAAAGATCATTAATTATTATTTATAAATTACCAATTTATGTTTATTGACTTTTTATTAAATACCTAATGTATATTTATCGCATCCGTTCCTGAATTAGTAACCAGTAGATACCTAACCTAACTATTCCATAAAACAAAAAGCGAACATCAAGTGCCCAAGTATTATAGTTTAGGTACCCATAGACATATAAAACAACTAGATAGCGGTGAAGCGGACTGTATATTACATTCCCACAGGGACGTTAAAGTCGTGCGGCCAATAATATATAAACAGAGCAGAGAGCAATACTTACAAAATAACTCAATAGATAAGATACCTACATATATATACCTATATTTATATGATATATACCTATATTACGAGTATATGTATATTATATTATTATCAATCATACAATTTCGCACTGTTGGCATATGGCTACCGACTTCAATATTATCCTGTAGTCGGCTATCTAGTTGTTTTATTTTATGTCTATGAGTTTACCTAATAAAATACAATAAATACCTACTATTTTTCAATATCCATACTGTACTTTTTTAAGGTTATATGTTACATCTATAGTTTGTTATTAGATTTTCAACAATATTGCCTTTTTTTACTTTTTGATTGTAATTTGTGGACTTAACCTAGTAGGTATTACCTACTACCTACAGATCATAGTCCACAGGTATGTACCTATATCATACTCAACCACGAATAACTATGAGCGCTTATTTTATATAAATGTACCGTGTTTGTGCACTATATGGGTGACTTGAACATCACATGACCTATTGGATGTTTATAAGCCCTTTGCCCATCAATTCAGCAGTCACTATGCGCCTATGCTTGGTACAGATGCTGGATGGAATCGCAATTGGGTGAAACGTGTTTTTTTCATAATCTATTCAGTCTAATAAATAATAGTTTATACTTAATAATTTTTTTTTTAATTTATCTTAGACCGGTAACTATAACCATTAGCTGTTTTTGTATGTTTGTAGGTTTTTGTTGGTTTTTAGGTGGGAGGAATGGTAAGTTTTAACACGTGTGTTTGTGTTTGGCAGAATTTTTATTGGGCACCCATAGGTTTCTGCCATGCCTGGTTGGAGGATGGCGGCCTCTCTCTCCAGACAAGTGTTTACTCGGAGAAAAGTGCCGTCCGTGATCGAGATTCGAACTGGCGACGGTGCAAGTTGCAACCGACGGCTTAGTCCACTCGGCCACTCCGTCCCCCGCTTAATAATTTAAAGTGGCGATTAGGACATGTCAATATATTGCTGTTTTTAACATATATAGGTAATCATAAATCATAATGGGTTTAATAATAATAATACAATGATGTATTATGCCCTGCGTAATAATATTTGTTCACGGTGTTCAATATTTTAAAGTGTCCAATAATCGTAGGAAATCTGATGGATATAATATTACCTTTTCCGTTTTCGAATCTCACCTACCTATGTATCTTTTGTTGGCCGCGGTTGACGCCGACCCGAGTTCTGAGCCATCACGCGCATCGTACCACTTCACCACGTATCGCTTGACGCGATGTTCAACGCTGGACTTATCCATCGTCCATGATACATTGTAACCGCTACCGGATCGTTCAACTCGTATGTCGAACGGGTGGTTGTCGTCGATGAAACTCGAAGATTTTTCGCGCAAATCATCAGTCGATCGGCCGGTAGATTCTACAATTACGATAATATAATAATAAGAAGAAGAACAATCATTTTATAGAAATACGGAAACCACAAAATAATAAAAATTACATTTTATTTTATAATTACCATGTAGGTAGTTAAGGGACTGGATCCGGTTCCCGGGCCTATATCCTACTATTAAATGAACAATATCGGGTCTTATAATATATAGAATACAATTAACTTTGTTTTTAGTTTTTAGTGTTTATACCCTATAATGATATTTTTTTTGAAAGAAACACCTTCATTTTACTCAGTAATTTCTAAAAGAGTGAATTTATACCAGAACAAAATACTAAAATATATATGAACGTAAAATTTGCCATGTTGTGCTTTGTAAGACATAGACAACAAATGCCAGTATGGCGTCCCCTTAAATTATACTTCCTCCCTCGCCCCCAATTGCATAATCCTGGCTACTCCATTTATATCTACCTAGATCATATTTAACTGTTTAACCTACCTGACTTCACCCTGAAAAAAATGAAAAAAATGTATAAAATACTGCACTATATCGGCGTATTTCGGTTTTAGTGTACTGAGATGGGTAATCTACTTGTGTCAGATTGAAAATATAGCACTCAGTGTCCCAGTATACTTTTAATATAATAGCTCAAGCTAATTTGTGTAGTTTCTGAAATGTTCATCAACATTAGGCGTGTAGCCGTGTAGGTGGGTATAGTTTTAAATCTATAACCTACCATAAGGACAATAACCATAATAGCAACCCTACAAATAAACCAATTCCTGAGCCTCGAAGAAAATGTACCTAATTTGGTGTCCATTGCAGTTCAGTAGTCTACAAGTCTTTAAAGCATAAGCCTTATCCAAAATTATATTGTACATACATTTTTATACATGCAGTGGTGTAAAATAGATTATTTTATATTTCTATATGTAAGAAAAATTAAACCTAGGTACTAAGAAATAATAGTTGTAAATACAATGTTTAGAACCGTATCAGTTTTAACTGGACCCCTTGATTTATATTTTTCGAAAACTAGAACTAAAACCTTTTAATGAAATTAAAAGACTACCTATCCAGTCTCTGCAGAAATGTAATTAATATATAATTCGTATGATGTAGTCGTTTGTGAAAACATACTAACCTTTTAAACGACTTGTCAGAATGGATTTGCTGAACATAGATTCTCCGCTCATCTCGTCGCGGCACGTCACCATTATCTCGTATTCCCTGCCAGTGTCTAAATTCCATAGAATCGCTTTCCCGTCGCTGGATGTCGCTGTTGCGTTCCAGTTCGACGAAGCCGAGCTCGTGTCTCTACTCCTAAAATAACAATAGGTATTAAAAGTCGTGTAAGGTCTTCGTCGGTACTTGATGTCAAAAAATATTGTTATACATTAATACGAATAGCGTACATACAAGTAGACAAAGACTATTATCTCATACAGTCATACACTACATAATTAAGAATATACACATAAAAATGTTTGCATGATTTTTGAAATAAAACAAAATTAATTAACAATTATTCACAATGTGACGATATCATATTGTGTAGATGAAATACCTATTAATGATAAATCATTGTATACAAAAAAAAAAACTCTAAACGATGGATGGTCAGTTAGCCTATATTTCCGAGCATAAGTATTTTATTATAGGTACTTTTGTATTGATATAATGATATTAATAATACATTTATACGATTTTGACAATAAGTTGGACTCAATTTATCATTAAAAAAAACAAATTATTTATGTGTATTATGTATAAGGTAATTATTTTAATATTATTTCATATGATATTAAGTAGGTATTAATTGCTGTTATACGTTAATACCGACGTTTCGTACAGCCTGGTATAGGCCATAAAGTATAACTATCCAAATATCTAGGTTCGAATGGTATAAATAGCTTAAAATTTGTCTAATAATTTTAAAATTTCATTGTGTATAAATTAAATACTAATTAATAATAATATATGCAGTATTAAAACTTTTGAACTACATTAAGGTTCCTGTGAAATGTGAATAATCTTTCGTGAATAAGTGTGAGGCGTGTAATTTGTAATATACTATGAAATAACTAAAATTGTTATTTTTCTTTAAGTACCTATCTAATTTCATTGACATTTTGACTTGAAAGGTATCTTTTTTTTATCTACACATATGTATTTTTAAAATGTTTAAGTTTTTTTAAGAACAGCTCATACAACTATCGTATTACATTTTCATACAAAATTTAAACTGACATTATTGTACGCTATATTATATATGTTTCGCATTCTTCACATTTTATTTCATTTGGTATCTTATTTTATTTACTATGATAAATTGAGAATCTATTTTTTGCTCTTTCCTTTTACATATAATTGTTCGTTATACTGTTAAAGTATTATATATATTTGCAGGCGACTCCTGCTTTACCTATATATTATATTTATATATAATATTTTGGTATATGCCCAATGCTCATGATTTATGAACTTAACTGATTAGTGACTATGTAATATATTATCAAAAACATTTTTTATCCAAGATTGGGTCCTGAACTCTTGACACATCACACATATATATGGTTTGGAAACACGGGTCTATTATTAAACAAGTATCACTAACCAAACGTTGCAGAATGAATATGGTCGTTTCCAGTAAGCCACAATATTCTTGTTGGTTGCATTTACGTGCAAATCAAAATGTTTACGATGTAATAAGTTTTCCTCGACGATCAACTCTGTTTCCACCGAAATAGTAGCTGCGATATTGGATGCTACACATCTATAGACACCTCTGTCTTCACTCCTTACGCCAGTCAAAGTTAGATTACCGCCAGTGACTGTTACTCGTGGATAAAATAAACTCTTACCGTCCGCCTATAAATAGGTATAAAACTAATTAAAATAATTAATTAATTAAAAATAATTAAAATTTGAATAGTTTTTGTTACTTCTTTTATTAAATTAAAATGATTGTAATTAATAACATTATATATAAGAACCTTTAATTATTGTTGTCTCACAGTAATACGCACTTAATATTAAATATACCTACATATGTATACTGCAGACTGCAGTTAGAGTGAAACACTTATGTAGTTGGAGCATCGATATTCAAAATTAATATTTAAGAATAATTTATTGTATAGGTATATTTACGATTTACAAATAAACGTTGAAAACTATTCAAGTTAATATATTCATTAATTAATACATAACAATAAATCAGACGTGTATCCATTATAGGGATAACACATTAAAATAGTTGTACAAGGCAATAGATGATTTTGTATGGTCTTTTAATTATAAAAAAGTAGTATTTTGCACACCACTGCCTATGGCTTTGCGTAGGATAAGACCATGAGATAATGCGACGACAATTTAATACGGCACATGGAAGGACAATATAGGGGAGGACAGTCGCCAGTATAGGATCAACCTTTATTCTCTCGCTAGAATCTCTGAGTTGCGCCTACACTAATTTATGATAACGAAATTAAAATTAAAACCATAAGATATATATTATAGGTAATACCTTCTGCCAGACAATCGCCGGACCTCTGTTGTCGAAATTCTCTGCCTCACACGGCATTGTGATGTTATCTCCGAGTTTACGGAAGTACAACACTTTCGGTACAACAATTAATTTTGGTGGATGCTGGACGATCACGTCCATTGGCGTAGACGCCCCTTCGGTTCCCAACTCATTGAATGGCGTGCACGTGTATTTGCCTCCGTGTTCTTTCTCTACCTATACTTGCAATGGGCATATAATTATAACAAAATAATAGATAAACTTGATAAAATCTTAGGTTACACAGTTCAAACATTACCTACACATTATAATATTTCAAAATTGGTATAGGTTCTTATGAGTTATGAAGTTATGACCTATCATACAATTATATAATATTATATATATATATACACAGTTTGTTCCATATCAACAGTCCCGTATCACCCTAATTATTTACGTGACTAATAAGTGCATCTAAGTATGTATAATTTTTTTCCCAACTGCAGTTATCAATAAAAATAAAGGAACGTATGCTACTCAATTAAAATTGTCATTTATAACTATCGAAAAACATAATCTAAATTCTAAATATTTCAAGGTCAATGAGATGTTTAGGGTGATATGGGACTTTTGGATACTGCAAAATATATGTTATATAAATCAATTCGTACCCGATCAAAGTAAAGAGAGCCATTTAGCCTATGGTAAACTCCAGGCACATTGTACGTGTCGAACAAGAATCCGTCTTTTTCCCACCTTATTTTCGTCAGCGGCGGATTGGAATGAAAGTGACAATCCAAGGTACCGGGCTTACCGTAAGCAAGAAAAACTTCAGCTGGCGAATAGACAACTTTCGCTTTGTCTGGAAAATGAGTAGTATCGTTATTATATTGACAAAGATTTAGTTACATTTTAGAGACCGCTTATATTTTTTAAAGTAAAATTCAAATAGTAAAATAAATTTGCATAATCGCCCCCTCCTCCATTCACATACGATAATACGACACACATGCACACTCACAAATGGCCGAATCAATGTTTTAAAAAGTATCAGCTAAATATTAAATATCTAAAATAAAATACTGGATGAGACGTTATAGGAAGGGGCAAGCATGACTGGTTTGTCGATTCCAAAAACTGAAATGTAAATAAATAGAATCCTATTGAAATAATAACAAATCGCTCCAATATTATATTATATATAATAACAATAATATAACATAAATACCTATTCACCAAATAAGAAAAGAAATTTTAGGCTTGGAAATTATTTGAGGGGGCATCAAATACTGATTTGATCTATAGGTAGGTACTTGCTTAAACACTTACACTGAACGTTGAGAAAGGCGCCGGCAGACAGCGTTCCCTTTGCTGATACTATGCGGCACGAATAAAAACCGTTGTCGTTCAATGCTGCATCATAGATGTCTAACGAACCTTCTGGAGTCACGAGAAATCTACCATTCAAGAATGGCAAATCATCCAGTGGCACTCCGTCTTTATACCATTGGACTATAAACTCAGGATCTTCTTTCACGCAACTGAAGTGAACGGACTCATGTTCCATCCGGGTTTGGTTGATCGGCGGTATACTTATCATGTCACCACCTGTATCCCGGAATGAACGCATAATAAAGTATAGTAAATGATACAAATTGCATTCCGTACAACCAGTGGGGCAACCATGACTAAAATATTGTGGACTGATATCACATGGCGGGGGCGTTGCCCTCTCACCACCAATATAAATACAATAAAAAATTATTAAAAAATAGTACAAAAAAACAAATATTTATTTCCTCAATTTCATTTTTTACAATAATAATATACTGCATGTATTATAATTTATAGTTCAGTCTTCAGTGTATAGGTGTATAGTAATGTCTGTAACATTAAATATAATAATCATACCAATGTGCTGACATAAATCGTTTCCTTAAAAGTTAATGATATTTACCATATTTATTATAGGAAATATAAATTAATAATTATAAACTTTAAATAAAAGTCTAATAATTTAATTTTTTCTCAATGAATAAAAAACAATTACAGTTGAATTTATAAGGCTTATAATATTTTAAGAAACAATTAAATTATTTATTTTGGGATGCTATTATAAGATTATAAGTTTTGAGGAGCTAATCCTCCTGGACCCCTCCCACTAGATGAACTTATGTGTATAACAATAATTAACAGCAACCACACTATAAGCCAGCGGTCGCCAACCTTTTGGACCTTGCGGACCACTAAAACCATATTCTAAATTCTACGGACCACGTATAACTTTTTACATGAATAAGGTTCCACTACTGATAAATTTTACACCAAATTAATTTAAAAAAATACATACGTAAAATGATAAAAAAATGTTTTATTTTTATTTATTTTGTGCAATTTTGGCTCCAATGTAGTTACTACAAGTCGTAGAGCTTTATTTATTTCTAGCTGATTTTTAGCTATTTTTCTGCGGACCACCGGTTGGCGACCGCTGCTATAAGCTATCTTATTTTTGAAATTCGATACTTTTTAAATATATTTATTATTTAATTTCTTACAAGGAAATACTGTATAAACCGTTACTGACAAAATTCGTGTGGATACCTATACCGTAGGCATAATATATAATAAATTGTAGGAGAACTGTCGTTGAATTTTAATTTAAATACCTACAGCAAAACTAAAAATCATTGGATGCAAGCTTTTAACTATCTACAATAAACAAAATAATACGGGGGAAATAATTCTATAAAATAATTGTATTGACTAATCATCTGACCATTGGACGGTAGTCCACGGTGTGTCATTTCGTAATAAAAAAATAAAAAAATGTACCAAACTAACCTTAGTTCTATTAACACATGTACGGCACAAGTTTAATGTACGAGGCGTGTCGATAAAGTAAGTGTGCTCAATTTTTGTAGGCTTCAAAAATTTGTATTAAAAAAAAAAATTACGTGGTTACATTAATATATTTGTGGGCTATAAAGTCACTATCTCTTTCAATGTAGGTTGTGAGACGGCAGATTAATAATTGTTTGATGCCTGCCTCGTAGAACTCTGCCACCACCTCCTTTGTCCACTTGTCGACCACCCTCTTCACCTCCTCGTCAGTTGAAAATTTTTTTTCTACCCATGTGCTTCTTCGAGGAAGTGAACAAATGGTAATGTGAAATTCTGAAGGCGCCAGGTCGGGGGAATACGGAAGGTGGTTCAAAATCACAACATCCCATCCAAATGAGTCCAGCAATTGCTTCATGACATTGGCCGTGTGGGGTCTGGCGTTGTCGTGCAGCAGGCAGACTCCATTTGCTAACAGACCCTCCTTTTATTTTGAATAGCTCTCCTCGATTTGTTTAGGGTCTCACAATACCTTGTTGCGTTGATGGTCTTCCTTGAGAAAATATTCAATCAATATGATGCCTTTGTGGTCCCAAAACACTGATGCCATGATTTTTTTTACTGAAATGGTGGTTTTAAATTTTTTGGTTGAGGGCGAACTGGTGTGACGCCACTATTCGGACTGTCTCCTGGTTTCAAGAGTATAGTGTGTAACCCAAATTTCATCTCCAGTAACAAAAGATTTGAAAAAATTATCACCGTCCATTTCATAGCGTTCCGAAACCTCTGTAGTTTTGCACTCGATTTAACATGTGTTGTTCAGTAATCTGTTTTGGGAGCCACCTTCTGCACAGTTTACGAAATCCAAGTGTTTCTGTGATTGTTTCGAGGGGCAAAGACCTTGACAGTTGCAGAAACATTGCAGAAAGTTCATCCAGTCAATCTGCTATCGTCATAGACCGCATTCTTGACTTTTTTCACAATGGTGTCAGTCAAAATCGACTGTCTCCCACACTTCTCAGATCGTCATGTTCAATCGTATGTACGGCCGTTTTTAAACTCCCTACACCACTCGTACACACTGATAGATTCATATAGCCTTCACCATAAACGATTTGTACCTCATTAAAAATCCCATGTGGAGATTTTTCCTTCGCAACGAGGTAACGGATAATGGCACGAATTTCGCACTTGGCGGCAGACTCGATCGACATGTTCAAGGAGAAAAATTCATGTGGATATGACCACTGTTTCCACGTACTGAACACGTTCTGGTTTTGTTTTAAAGGTTAGGAGTAAAGCTAACATAGTAAAAAAATATTCCCTACGATCGCGAGAGCCTCGGTACACTCACTTTCTGGACACTCTAGGTGTATAGAAATAAAATACAAGTAATGTTCATTTAGTAAACATTGTTAAGTGAGAGAGAAATTTCCCTACTAAGACCAATTAAAAACTCGGAAATTTATGAAAGTAAAATATGTAGAAAGAACTAAGCAGAATGTACCTACATAGGGGTAACAAACAATTACATTTTTCCCCCATGATATTTCTGAAGTGCATCTTCAGATAGACTATTTAATTTACAGTTAATTTACACCATTGAACTCTGTATTATGATATCTGGAATGCGCATCGGCCATAAGATCAATGTAAACATAACCGAAATATCGTGTCAGAACAAGATAGCAGATAAGAATGGTGTTGCTATATCCTTTTATCACACATACTCATATGAATAATGATTGTTTACCAATACATTTTGAATAATATTGTTGTTTTTAACAATTTAACTATTTTTATAAGGTTTGTTTTTGTATTCTCATTATACCAAGCAAATAATATGATATTTAATTCCGACATTGAAATAACTTAATGTATTAACAAAATGAGGAACGGAAAAAAGTCTCGGGGCAAAAAAAGTTCATAAGAAGATTAAAATATATAGGGCTACAGCCTATTTGCGCCACAGAGTAGTACATTTGCGCCCCGAGGGATATGGACAGATGCGCCCGAAAGATAAGGTACTACCTGCCAATGTATAGCCCATATGCGCGCATTTCGTATGCAACGTTGCCGTTGTGATTCATATTATTATAGATATATTTATCTTGATAAATACTTAAATTATTTAGATTACCTAGTAGATTATATTATAATTTACTAATTGTGCAGTTATTATTTATTTTATTATTATTTACTGTAGTAATAATTCATCTCACATAAAATCATATAAATAAAATAAATATTTCAAATTAAAAAAAAAAAAAATTTTGGAAAATATAATATAAGGGTTGAGTACATGCAATTATTATAAAAATTAATACTGTTGATTTTTCTCACACGTCATAAACAATAATAAAAAATATTTCATCATAAGTTAAACACTTAAACCTTTTAAGGTAATATAATAATAAGTTCATATTTATATTTCAAAAATGTTAATAAAAATTAATAATGTTGATTTTTTCACATGTCATATATTATAATAAAAAAAAGTATATAAAAAATATTTTTATGATAAGTCAATTCCTCTAAATTTATAAGCAATTTTTTTTAAATATTGTACCCTGGTTATATTTTTTATTTGATATTCCGTCCAAGTTGTACATGCAAATTCTGTACGTTCTTTTTCCCCATTTCGTTTAGGTTTCACTGTGCCTTTATTAACTTCTTTTATTTTCAAATAAGTTTCCACTTGAATTAGTTTTAAATTTTTGATAATAATAGTAATTGGACTAATTGGAGGATGAGGTGAATAAAATTGTGCATTAAAATGTTTGTGGAAAGACTCGGCACAATTTGTTGTTTGTGGCGCTTCAGAAGGAGGTTCAGCTCAAATTGATGGTGGAAATTTACACCAAATAATAATATAATTATACAATATATAGTCGGAAAATTCTGATAAGCATAATAAATTGAAGTCGGGCGTTAAATTTTGAATATCAAAAAAAGCATCTTCGACTTCATTCGACGGTAAAAATGGTAATCCGAAGAACATTACTAACCATTTGGCTATATCGGAAGACTGATCATTATAAAACTTTTTCAGATCTGTAATAGAATTTATCTTCCGATACCAAGACTGACTCAAGTGAAATCTACAAGCCTTTATGGTACTATTGTTAAATACGTTTCTGAAAGCTTGGTGTGCAGCAATTTCAAAATCTAGATGCATTGATATTGGATTAAACGGTTGTTGATTTTCATTTATACACAATTCACAAATAAAATTCCACATTGCTAGGTAGCAATCAAATGATTTTGAGGGCAAAAATGCAATAATTAAAGGTATATAAAATCCATTTTTGTAACCATGTATACCATACGAGTACATTTGATAAAAATAAGAAGGTCTATATGTAAATGTACCATCTCCAAATATCTGTGTATTATAATTGCATAAAAAGTTTAAATTCGATTTGCACGTTATCAATATAATATTGTTTACACCATCAACAAATTTAAACTGCTCGTTTTTATTTGTCAAAACTTGTAGATCGGAAATTTGTGCGATTGCCTCATCAAGTGATTTAGGAATATGAGGCAGCACTTTTCGTCGTTCACGGTATATAGATTTTTTAATACTATTTATATCAGAAAATTTGGATGTACTACATGAAGATAGCTCCGAGCGTAGGTATTATTTTATTTGGCCGTAAATTTAAATCCTCACATGCTTTTCTTTTGCACTTACCTCTTACTTCCAGCAAGTTTAAATCTTCAATAGTATTCGGTTCATGATTATGGATATCTTTAATTTCGATTAG